GTATACCCATTTAAAGAAAGGAAAACTGTATTAAAATTATAATACTCAATATATACTGATAACAAAAGATGAACACAAGTCATGTTTGACTGCTGCAATTACAAGAGGTGCTCAAAGTGGTTACCATCAGCGTTTAGACACTTCTGATTACAGCTAACTACTGCTTGAGCAACATTGACCAAAATATCCACTTGTATACATTTTTTTGGCACCCCTGGTATATCTATATATGTATTTTAGTAGTAGTAAAGTATAATTATTCCTGTTCTGCCAATCCCATTAGATTGTAAATTCCTCAGGGACAGTCTTTCAATCTTTTATCTCCTTTTAGAATTCTGCAGATCCTAGTTATGTCAACATAGGTTACTAATAGACTGTCTGAATTCATCTCCATCACATGATGACACTGCTATATGATGCAGCATGATGAAAAGCAGGACTTGGATTTGGAAATCTCATGAGGTTTGAATGCTGATTAATTTTATGACTTACAGCAAGTCATTTGAACCTAACTTTGGATTCATCTTTAAAAAATCATTTTGATAATGATTGCTATCATTATTAATAATGAATAAAGATATACATGAAAGGTACATTATACAGACATTCAGATCAATTTTATTAGATTTAAATTATTTCTGGAAAATATAGGTCACACAGGGACTATATGAAGGAGAATACAATAATCTTAACCTTTTGTACAAAAATAATTCTAGCTAAGATGCCTAATATTAATGCTTCATTTTTACTAAAACTTGATAGCTTATGATAATCATCTTGTAGGAAGCTTTGCCTCTGTTTTTTGTTTTCTTTGTTTTAAATTGAATTCCTGGGCCTATTTTAAACTAGAGCTCCTTTTTGTTTGTTTATTCACTGCCTTGCACTAGAAAGGATATAAGGTGGTTTTAAAAATCTTTAATCTTTCATCACATACATTCTGATTTGTACAAATTAAAGATACAATAGAAAATTCATGAATAGGCTAATAAAAATGTGGGTATGTAATTGTGGCTTTCTCTGTAAAATTACATCTCTGACTAGGAAAATATGTTAGCTAAACCACACTGTAACTCATTTTACTCCACCACCTGGTGGATTTTAGCAGTTATTCTAGAAGCAATGAAATTGTCAGCCTGATATTATTTGTAAGATAATCTTTTCTCTGAATTTTTTCTCTAATGTCACCTAAACCTTCCACATTATACATATATGTCTTCCTTCTAGAATTTAAGCTTTCTGGGGGCATCTTTGCATCCATTACCGGTAGTGTCTTAAAAGAGCCTTAACAAATGTTCATTAAGAGAAAGATTAACACATTTCACCAAATATGACTAAAGGGGACTTTCACAGTCATAGAGAACATAGACAGATCTATAATTTCCACAGTTTGAAAGACTTTCTGCAAGTCTGAAAATAAATGAACTAAGCAGCAGCACTGTGTTGTACCATGTTGGAGCCTGAGGCAAAAGGGTAAAAAAAAATCAGTAATGCTAATGCTGTGTTTATTTAAAACTTTGATCCATTATGGATTTTTTACATTAACTTTGATTTTTTTAATATTGCATTAAAATATGGTTTATCTTGACTACTGAATTTTCTGGCATCCTTTAAATTTTGTGCCATAGGAGACTGCCTCACTTGCCATACTAAAGAGCCAGTTCTAAAAAAGGAGAAAAAAAAAGTTGAAAGAAGGATAAGTAAAAGCAAGATTTAGTTCTTTAAAATAATTAATCATAGACAAATCTTTGGCAAATGGGATTAAAGAATAAAGAAGAAAATATATGCCATATTAAATGGGATTACATTTAAAAAGTACAAGAAAATGGGTGATTTCCTAGGAATATATAAGTTAACAAATTTGACCAGGGGTAAGGGAAAAAAAATGGAACTGATCAAATATGAAATAAACTGGAAATTTACTTTTTAAAAAGTCACCATGCCTAGAGTTTTACACTTGAACACAAACAAGATCACATAAATT